ATGACCTCTGAGGTCCCTTCCAACCTTCGGCATTCTATGATATGATCAGCTCTTTCTGTTGTATGTCCTTTTTTTAAGTAACACCAGTCTTTCAGAGTACATACCACATGCTTAGCTGGCCAGCTCATGTCCCTCTCACTTCTTGGAGGACCTGGGAGAAACAACTGGTCTCAGCTAACCCAACTCAGAGAAGCCCCTCTTAATCTCCTCTCTTTCAACTCTAAGGGCACTAGTAGAGTTATTTGTAAACGAAAAAAAAGTCATGAAAATGACTTTTATGAAAAATACTCATGAAAAAATTAAATTGATATTTAATAAAATTTAATAACTTTGGTCATAAATAGGTGAATTGGGTTTTCTTCTTCTTTTAGACTATTTTTCCCAGCAATTAGGAGAGTTCGGAAATGTTCTGTGTGTCTTGGAAGACTTAAACATCACTGTACTGAAGGCAATGGACAAAACAAAGTAAGTAAGTAAACGCTGTGGCRTTTTCTCTACATGTTGTTTTGTTAACTTGAACATGCATCCAGTATTTTGTTATCTAGACATAGCTGACATAGACCTAGCTGCTAATTTATGTTTAAATTCTTCCACATATATRTATGGCTGGGTAGAAAAAGCAGAGGAGCAGCACCATGGTAAAGCTCTGCCTGCAAAGTAGAGCAGTTTGGAGATAATCAAAGTGATTAACTCCTTTGTTTATGATCAGAAAGATATTTTCATATTGCAGTGGCCCAGAAAAGCCTCCATGTCCCACTCAGGGTAGGTGGGTATTATCAACAATGAAAATAGTCCAAAGTTGAAAAAATAACTTAAGAGTTTTAAGTTAGTAAAAGTTTTGATAGCAAAAAGCAATGTAAATGACTTCAACTATAGTCAGTAATATTGCCTACTATTAGATTAGGTAAGCAGGAGTCCTTTGGAAGCATATTAGGGAATCATATTTAAGTTACTGCTGAATGTAGATTCCAGGATATTCTTAAAAGATTAAAAAGGACTATTTCCCCTCATACTCTCTTTTCCTGAAGGATTTGTCCCAGTACTGTCATGGATGCAAAACATTCCTGGCTGTGGCTGTGTAGCTGTTGGGGAGTTTGTCCCTAATAACTCCATAAATACAACTGGTCCCTGAAAATCACATAAGAATATCTCTGACAATAACAACACTAGCTATCACTGAAAGGCAAACCATAAACACTTGCATTCTTTGATTCCAGTCCTGAAAATAAAATTGAGCCAGAACCTATGGGGACAATAAAACCTGTATTAGTCAAGCAGTGATAAATAGGGAGAAAATTGCGCTTCCCCAGGGAAGTGGCTATCTCTGGCATTCAGGCATTTGAAAAAGTGCAGCATCCATACATTTTCCCTGCAATGGCAAAATGAAATCCTCACAAGAAGTCTATCCTGCTTATGTAGAACTTGAGCCAGCAAGCTGAACGTCCCTCCGTTCCTGCTGCGCCCCTTCCATTCCAGAGGAAGGGAACGTGGGCTCGGAGCGTGGGCTGGCTCGCTGCCCCACGGCCTGGCCACCGAGAGGGAGCAGAGCAGTTTATTCTCCCTATGTGTCACTCAAAAATACTAACTGCTTGATTAGCTGCCCTTATACAGTACAGCGAAGGGGCAGAACATGTCAGCTGATAACCGCCRTGTAAACATAGTGAGGGATTTAAGAATAACTCCAGAAGTTAATTATAGAGGATGGGTCTCAGTAGCAGAATTAGGAGAAGTAAGGACTGAATTGACCTCAGTGAATTGACTACACGGTGAATAAGAAAGTCTGGAGTATTTGATAAGTTGAATTGTCTACTTGAGGTTCCAATCTAAATAAAAAGAAAGAGGAAATTTATATTTACCTCCATGTCTGAATATGCAARCTTACTGTTTTCTTTCTTGCAAGAATATCCCAATTGCTTATTTTCTTTCAAGGTGTTAAGACTAAAGCAAAGATAGTACTGCAATTTTTTTTCAATTGCAGTCATTTGACAAAATATGAATACAGTCAATCAGCATAAACACGTGTCCACAAAGATCCTAACAGAGTTTTCCATCAAGGGCATTCCCAGCAYCTCTGACTTTGTAAAGAAATTAAATTCTAAATTTAACCCCTGTGGGGAATAAGGAGCAATTTGATACTCCGTTTTATTTATCCAGTTTATAATCATATGATCATTCTCCTGTGTGTCCTCCCTATACAGAAGCTCTGCTTTCCTATCGCATATTTCCTATCGCTTATATCGCTCTATCGCTTATATCGCTATATCGCTTTCCTAATGCATATTGTCCTTTCCCGGCAGATTCCTCACACGAGAGGCAGCTGCAGAGCTGGACTCCTTGCTCAATTTTCCATCTTGGTTTCCAAGGAAACTCAGCRGTGCCAGGGTACAGCAGAAACCTGGATCACCAGGTGAGCCTCTAAACATCTCGCGAATTCTGAAACACAAACCTGTAACCCTTCCTTATTCCGGAGAAGAACAAGGAACTATTTTAACTACAGGTTTTTTAAAAAATAAAAAATGAATATGCTTTTATTTGCTTCTTTGCATGCATTAATATAAATCCAAAAATACACAAAAAAAGCCACCCTGATTTATATCTATAAAGGTAGTACAAAAATGTACATCAAATAGCTATTGCACTTGAACTGATTTGACTCATTATATCGCCCTTTTTATTAATTTARTTCACCTTCAGTTTTGGAAAACACATGCATTAGCCAAAAAGATGCAAGTTTTGATTAACATTCCCTACGTGTGAGCTCCTCCAACAGTTAGTCAGCAAGAGCTCTCACCAAGAGCTATTTGAATTTGGCTTTGCTATGGATCCCTGGCTTTAAATCAGGATGAACCAAATGGCCTGTATCATTCCACATTATTTCCTTAGGCCTTTTTTGTTTGTTTTTTCACCTGGCAGGTTAGTGGTTAGCTGGTTACTGCAGGGTAGTTACAGTGCAATTTCAGTAGACTTTACCTCCATGGCATTTGCAAAAAGCCATTTATAAAGCTGTTAAAGCCAAAGGCCTGAGGAGGTAACGCACCTTCCCTCCAAGCCCATGGGATTTAGTTGGCCCGCTTGGGAGTTTCTTTGCTTTCCTCAGCTTGCTTGCTCTCGCGGTGCCTTTCTGGGCATCCTCACATGTATTCAAACTCATAGGAGCAAGATTCCTTCCTCGTAGCCACACTCGGAGTGATTTAAAGCCAGAGCAGCCAGATGTAATGGAGTTTGCTGGGCTCTGGAGAGGTCTCGAGGCTGCTTTTCTGAGCTGAGCATCGCTCCATATTGCCACTCCTGCACTAGCTCAAGATGAAAAGGGGTCACTGAAGGGAGAGAATGTTACAGTGTTTTTCCAAGAGGCTTGGGATCCACACTCCTTTCTTTCCCTACTTTGGAGCCAGATCCTTCCCATCTAATCCACTTAGTCTTTCAGTGCTTTCATTCCAATGGGAACTGGCGTCTCCAGGTCTCGATGCTGCACACTGAGCACGAGGGCAGCAAAATCCCAATTTCACACTTCCTTCCTAAACTAAAACCAACATTTCCAGGGCAGTGTATCAGGTGGGAAGCCAGGAAGCCTGCACCTGTGGAGGAGAAGGAAGTGCTGCCAAAGGAACACAGGGAACGATACAGAAAGGAACATTTTGCAGCCAGGGAAAGGTTTAATGTCCACATGATTTAAATGCAAAAGTCATCCTACTTGAGGATACTGGGGAGGCCACAGCCCCTCTGTGTGCTCCTGATCTCCAAGTGTTTTCTCCTTTCACAAGGAAGGCAAATATAGATCTGATGGTTGATGGGGAGCCTGGTGGCACTCGATATTTGGTGACCTCTCTCCACAGGATGGAGAGGCGTTCCGAGTTGCACTTGTATCTCGGGACAGCAGTGGAAAAGGAGGCATTTATCACTGCTGTCAGTTATTTTTCTTGTCGCTGGCAGCTTGCAGTTTTCCTGATCAAAGTACAAGCTGGGATAACTGTGCTTATCTCCTTCCTTCTTCATCTTATAAACAGGAAGCATTAAAATTAAAGACTTGGCAAGCTTTTGCAGAGGCACTGGAAAGCTTATTCTTTAAATCTTTATCTTTTTTCTGATGTCTTTTACAACAATGTGCAGAAAACTATTAATTTAAATATTAAATATCAACTTTTTTATTAGCCAAACATACAAAACACTTTTGCGAAGCTACATTTTTTATTCCATTCTATAGCTTGCATTCACATACAAATACAATGAAAAGAAATTTTGCAACCCACAGCTCATAAGAGGACAAGTAAAAAGTTCTGGAGCAGCCTCCCAAACTCAGCATTTAGGGAAAAAACAAAAAATAAAAAAGAAATAGGAGCAAGCCAAATTAGAAGATTGTGGGAGCGAAAGTCTAACACAGGGACACACCAGATTGGTGGCATTYGCAGGAACTATGTAGAATGCTGCACTCTGGTGGCTTGATACTTGATATAAACCAGAATATCTAGATTTTTAATCACATGTTTGAGTAATAGTAACTGCAGTGATTATATAAATTATAACCCAAAATAACCCAAAATGCTATAGAAATATATGTCAGTATCTGAGTTCCATAAGTAGCATTCTGTCTAAGAAAAAAATAAAATAAAAAAAAGTTTCAATTTGTTTTTTCTTTTCACGTTAAATTGTCTGGCACCAGTTTTTACATCTGTCTAGAATTTATTAGCAACTTTCATGGAATCATAGCCTTGATCTCCTTATAACTGCACTTTTCACATATGCTCCTTTTGCAGCAACTGTGTGTCCTGGTGAAATGCAGAAGTGTCCTATGCCACTGTGACAGGTTAACCAGGCTATACATTCACATGCGTTGATTTTGAATGCAGGTCATTTAGTCAGCCCCAGTCTAGCACCTTTGCTATCTACCATCTTTATGTTTTAAAGTGGAAAAAATGGTCCGATTCAGCTAGAAATGAAATACAAAAAAACAAAACAAAACAAAACAAAAAAAACCCAAACAAACAAAAAAAAAAACAGAACAAAAAGAGGTTGTTCCTGTTAGTATTTCCTATAGGACATGAGAAATCTCTTCAGGATGAAGGTCACATAAAGCACTGSGCTGATGTGTGAATTTCAAAACATAAAGAGCGTGCACAGACAGCTCGCAATAATTATTTTAAATACTTTTATAATACTTTTTCCTTTAATACTTTTTCGATACTTTCAGCCAGGTGACTAAATTCAATATTTTACACCTATTAAATAAGTAAGTACACAGAGTCACAAAACTCTCTTCTGTAATGAAAGTAGCTACAATGTATATATATTCAAACATCACTGCAATCTGATATATTTCTTAACTGCACATAATTAATTGTGACTGTTTTTTGGYGGCTTCAGGCTACCATTCAGTAACAGTTTGCTCTATTGCACTACCTAAACTGGACATACCTTACAGCTCTTTTTATAATTTTTTGTACAGAGTTTATTCAAAACAGGAGAAATGCAGTGTGGATCCCAGCTCCACTTCTCGGGCAGATTTTTCATGCAACTCTAATATCAAACCAAACTTACCTACCAGCTGTGAATACTGTTAATAGTGTTATGAACATGAACTATGAACACTGTTAACAGTGTTCACAGCTGCATCTATGAAATGAGACGAGATCCTGAAGCTAGTGCTGGTATGGCGAAGAAACTGCAAGTCCTAAAGGCCACCTCCTTCTAATTGAATCCTGGAAACAAAACTTTCAGTGGTTTTGAACTAATTTTCAGTTAAAAAAAAAAAGAAAATAAGAAGGAAAACAAATGCGTTTCAAACTCTGTGTGTGTGTGTGTGTGTTGTTTAAATTGCAAAGCTGTATGAAGTTAAGATTTTGGTGAGAATTTTTCARTGAGTCTTTTTGAGCAATCAGAACTCAATTAAGCAATAAACAATAAAACGTCACTAAATCCTACGAGGCTTTAAAGAATGTTCCCATCTGCAGATACAGTTGTTCCTTGTATTCTACCTTTTCCATTGTTATAAAACTGATTAAATGCAGTCTGCAAATTCCTACAAAGTCTTTTCTTCTCACCTTGGATGTCTTGCCTGAATTTCCCTGATATTTTTTCTTCCYCTAATTTTTAATGAGACCCAATTGCCAATAATTAGAATTGGAGGCTGGAGCTTTTTGTATAAATCCATGTAAGCAGCTGCTCATCAGCTGCCTGCTGAAAGCTCATGTGAAGACAGGGATGCTGGTGACAGAGCTAAATCCATCACTAGTGGTACCCTCGGCAGCAAGGCAGAGAGCATCCTATGACTGAGCAACTGTTTCTGCCCCGARACATTATAAATGCTATGAGAAATTCTAGAATTTTGTCATATAAGATTTTCTCTTCCTACGATGTCCCATTACTGCAGTTTTTCTTGGAGYCTTCTTGAACGTGAGCATTGCGCGTGATGACTATTGACTGTCACTGTTCCAGATCTCTAAGCTGAATTTAAACAMGTAGCTTATTCCAAACACAATATTTCAGGAAACTTGGGACTTTTGTGACCAACTTTTAAACTGAGGTTGGATCTGTTTCTAGTAACCTTTTGCAGCAGTGCAGCATATTGTGCACCCAGTAGCTCTTCCAAAGAGACACTGGTACAGTTGCATTTGTGTGAACACAGTGAATAYCTGGGTCTGGTTTCTGCTGTCATTCTGTTATGATTCATTGAAATGAATAAGATTTCTTTTTTTTAATACAATTGTTCTGACTAGTTTTATATGCTGAACTTCAAATATTAAACCTAGGGTAGTGTTCCCATGATCTATGACCTGGGCAATTTAAACAAATTATTCCTTGCTGAGTTGGACTCAATAGCAACTAATTTTCCATTGCTTTGGATGTTTTCTGTAAATATAAGCTATTTTATTTTATTTTATTTTATTTTATTTTTATTTTATTTTATTTTATTTTATTTTATTTTATTTTATTTTATTTTATTTTATTCTACTTTATTTTTATTTTGATGCAATATAAAAAAGGAAACAGAAAATTTCAAAGTAATATAATGACTGTAAATAGTTGTTATAAACATCATCTAGGCCACTCAATGCATTGCAAAAATAAAAATAATAATATTAAAAAAAGATCTTGAGCCTTCTAGTCTAACRATTTGGGATCTGTGTCTTTCTGTATTTTTGTACAAACTCCATAGTTGAATCCCATCAAATGTCTTGAAAAAGCCTTTGCACATCTTGAAAAGCATGTTGGCAACAGGTAGCTTAGGTGCCCATCGTGCTTTTACTCTTTTTTTTTTTTTTAATTAAAAAATGGAATAACTATAAATTAGATTTCTGTCATGCATTAYGATGCTCCTTCCAGAAATGAAACTATATAGCTAAGGTATGTAAAATGGAACTTGAGAAATGGGCTTCCTTTGTAGCTAAGGCTACTGGTCTGGATAGGAAATCCTTGCACAGTCACAGACACCAGGAACAGCCACCACAGCTCAGCCTTTGGCCTAGACCACAGTCACTCAAGTCTGGGTCTAAAACCAGCAGCTCTGAACTCTGCAAGTTCTTATATACCTACCTGAGGCAATCTCTTTGGACTTGAGTTTTCCACATTAGATAAAAGGTTTTCCAGTTAAACACAAAGCTTTGTTTTGTTTTATTTGTTTTTCTAAACTTGCTCCCTCCTGTTCCATGTTTTTTGGGACATTCTTGTTGATGCCTTAACTGACTCTCCATCCATCGCTCATTGGGTCCTTCCTCCTCCTCCGGGAGAGGTTCAACTCTTGCAGCCTGCAGGGCTCTTGCTTTGGCCCTTCTGAAAGGGTTCAGAGCTACTTTTGTCCCTTACGTTTGCCTGCCYTGAAGAAACCAGCACAGTTATCATGGGCCTTTGGCATCTCAAGGAGCTTTTTTTCCATCAACTGCTGTGTCAGGTTACCCAGAGGAGAAAGGACTGGAGCTGGAGTCAGGTATCAAGGGGATCAAAAGAGTCACGGAATATGAAATGTGGCCTCCCCTAGAAGGAGGGGGGCTTGAACCATTCCTACTCCAGCTTTACAAGGTGGGCCTCTTCTGCACCTTTGAAGCGAGCTACAAGCCAACTTAAAGATCACTTTGACCGTTTTCATGCGCAAATTGTAATTATATCTATTTTCTGTTGTATAATGGGAGCTTATATCAAATGCTCACAAAAGTTGCAGTTGTCTCTTGATGAAGGGACAAGTGGAAAATTGCCCACACTCAGAGTCAGTAAAAGTAACAGCAGGTATATGGTAGCAACGGCTAACTTTATGTGGACTGGCCAAAGTGCTGTGCAGCGTAATGAACTGCAACTTGTGGTCAATAAAACTAAGGAAATAGATCAAAGAATCCTACAAGGAAGCTATCTTCTAACAGGCAGTAACTGTGACACTCAATAAAGTGGTGAGCATTGCCCAATGTCACTTTAAGGTGAGAATTTTCAACCTTAGATCTAAATTCCTTCTTCCCAATCCATCTTATAGGCCACTGAGCCATACTAATTCCCAAAAAAAAGGGATGTGGTCTGTTTTAACCCTTTGATTTGTACAGAGAGACCTCATTTAATAGCCATTACAATCACTGGAAGTATTCCCACTAACTTCAATCCATAGGTAAACTGTGTTTGCAAATATGGTGAAATTTAAGTGATATCTGTGCAGAGGTTTTTTAGTGAATTCTCCAACTACATAAAGAAAAATATAGAATAGTCACTTGGTCTATAGGGTGCAATAAGTGAGTGTWTTTCTGCATACAAGAGTTGCAAACACCAATACTTGTGCAAAATACATCTAAATAAAGAGATTCTGATAATTCCAGTCTGTGGGATTGATTCATGGCAATAAGACAAGACTTTTAGACGTAGAAAAAGGTTAGCTTGACGTAAGTGAGGCCTAGCTTAGCATGAGTAGYTGAACTTTGCATTTCCCAGAGAGATGAAGCGACCACCGGGAAGAATAGTAGATGGAGAGTCTCACGGAGGAGGGACCAGCATCAGGAGTGCTGCCTAGGAATGCAAGGACAAATGGTCRTGCAGGATGCCTGTTATCAGCAGAGTCCAAACTGCAAATATATCTGTGCCAAATTAGGGGAGTAACTCYGCATTGTACAAAATGATATAAAAGAGCGATGACTGCAATAAAGCTTCGGCATTYGCAGCATTCATATTGGATGTGTCTGCTTTGTCGGAAGCTTCGCCAGGTGCTGCAACAGTATAAGCCTGAATTTTCCCAATTACACGCTCAGGTTTGGGGCACTGATTGTTAGCTGCTTGTGTGACCCCAGTTCTACCACCAGGACACTATGAAACCATGAATCATGCAAAGAAGCTTGTGAATGATGGCTTGGGTTGGGTCAAAAGCCCATCACCGAGTAGTTTTATCTCTCTAAMAGACAGGCATAAGTTAACAACTTAATTCTTTTTCTCCCTCCTTCTTTAATGACTAGCAACSTAGGTTTATCTAATTAAGAATAGTGAAGATCTGGAAAATAATTTGAGAGTCTCAAAAGGTACTTCTCCTAATTCAGGGAGGAACATGCTAACATGCTTTGTGAAAACAGAAAGAAAAGAGCAGCTTGCTCACATTTATCACCTGCTGAATTGTCCTCTGTCTATAGACAAGACCCAGCAAAACCAGAAGCCCTCTTGGTCCAATGGCCAGAAAAATATTCAGCTCGAAGGCTTCTAAGAAACAACAGCCAATTTGGCAATATGTTGCCAAACTGCCCTCATTTTAACACAGGTTCACATTTCAGGTGCACTTAAAACATACATGCACACAAATATATAACACAAATATATACATAAATACCACAGGAGCTCGAGCCCGTTTCTTGACCTGTCATGCAGACCWCACTGTTGGCAGCGGCCTACTTGCCTCTTTCTTTTTAATCCTCTTTCAGAGACCTTCCTGTCACACACTCTTGTGCTCACAGTCTGCCGCTCAGTGAAATGGTGCCGTTCGTTCAGTGCAATGCAACGTGCTGCTGTTTGGCCCCTGGCTGTGACCCGCTCGTGTCCATAACGAGGAAGGTCTCCTAGTGTTGTTACTCAATTCCTAATTCATAGGAATTCATAGGAATTAGGAATTCATAGGAATTAGGGACCCAAACCTCTGCAGACCATGTCCAGCTACTGCGTTACCTTAACGAGTGAACAGCTTTCTCAAACACTATTCGATTGGACTTGGATAGATAAATCTCTTTCATCTCTTGATTTGTGTTTGAACTTTGTCTTCCTGCTTACTGTCCACAGGCACAGTTAGGATTTGTTTGACAGAAATACATTGCAAATGTCACAAGAGCTTTGAGCTGGAAAATGAGTGGGTTATGAAGATGTGCATGGAGAATGCACACTGAAAAATCTTTGATTTTGAAAAACAACAGTTGAGCAAGCACACATCTGCTTTCCGAAGCATTACCCTTTCCATCTGCAAGCCTCGGATATGGCAGACCACCAAGTCTTCTAGAGACTTTAGGGAGGCTCAGAGATACCTGCGGCACAGAACTGTATGTACTAGCTTCACTTTTGCTGTATGATAGTAGGTATCACTACAGGAGAGGTAGAGAGGGAAAAAAAAAAGTTAGAGGGTGGGAAAAAGAAAGTTAGAACAGCTAAATGAAATTTGTTGGAACTATATGCTCAGGTTACAAGCTGGTTCCATCTGCATGGTTCCTTTTTCCATCTACTACAGCAGTTTCAAAAACATTGGAGTTAATATAAAATGGAATTTGGTATTGGGCTCGCATTCTGTTTCAGATTTCTATTAGTCTTGAGAAGGAAAATCATTGATACAATTCAAATACTTTGCAYGAGTTATACCTAAATGAACATAGAATGATACCACCATCTTCTGTTGAGAAACAAAATTAATTACTGAATTAAAGTGAATTAATTAAGCTGAATTAAATTTCTGTTACACGATAGATGAATATACTGTATGTGCTCACTTAGTAATTTTATATTCTTCATTATTTATATTTTCCAAAGGGTGGACTGAAGAAGACAATCAGTGGATAATCCAGATAAACAGACTCCAAAAGCTGATTGACAGACTGGAAAAGGAGGTGCACATCCAATATCTTCTTTCTCTCTTTTTCAGGAATGTTTTCTGAAGCAAGCCTGTAACCACAAATGCCCATCAACATCCTCATCATGCTGTCTTTCTAGTTAATAATGCCTGAAACTTCCACCTCAGCTAAGTGAGCTCAAGCTCATGAAATGCCTACATTTTCCTTTCACTTTGCTTATTCCTCTTTCATGAGAGCAAGATCCAGTCAGTCGTTACAGAGCTGTGCTTGGCAGGTGACAGGCAGACGAGCATATTTCATGCTGCACATGCCATAGATGCCTTGTACATACGAAGCACACTCCTCGCACATATTGATAGCTATAAAACATCACCAAGGGACTCTGAAGGCTGCTCTAAATGCCCCATACTCCGCATAAAATGGCTAAAGGCTTTGTGGCATTTCAGGCTTTGTGGAAAGCTGTGGCTGCATTCCTCTATTCACTTTTTATACTTTAAAAGATGTGAGCATCTGAAAAACGCTCACAGTCCGAGCTGTTGCTCCTCGCCAGGTGATCAGGATGGACATTCCCTGGCAAAGCACAGACACCCTCCCTGTCTAGATGGACAAACACGCCACTCTCACAGATCTCTCAATTATCAGCATGGCTTTTAAGTCCATCTAATGTGCATGCCTGGGTCTGGGCCCCATACCCAGTCATCTACTGAGACCCMAGGTCCTTGCAGATGTGGATCTCCTACTAACCTGCTAGTCCAGCTTGAAGTTCACTAATACATTATACATACATGTACTCACAGAAAACACTTATGTAATGGCATTTAATAGGGAGATACGTTAATTAGTGGTGATGAGGCACAGGGCTCAGGTAGACAAGCTCACTGACTTGTTTGCATGCAACTCCCCTCAGTTCCTCAGTTCCGTTTCCCTTGCTTGTCCTTCCCATATGCATCTTGCCTCTCCATTTCTCTGCCATTCTCCCCTCCCAAACACACAAGCTCTCCAACCACTCCCATGAATCTRAATTTTGCTGCAGCTGCACCAAAATTTGCTGTTCCTGCTATCTAGGTCAGCACAGGCTTTGGGGTGTTGCTGATACCTGAGACCTTCCACTATTCTACTCCCGAAAAGGTCCTTGCTATTCCCTTCAGTTACCTGGGAAATCTGATGGGCTCTCACCTAATTTACCTTTAACCACCTGTGAATTCCTCATGGAAGGGGCTAGAATAGCTATAAATTATATTTTCAAAATTAAGTTCTTTGTGAAGTTTAAACACTGTTTTGGTCCAGCTTTACTTCCATCACTGCTTTAGAAACAGCAGCTTGCTAGCCTGCCACAGAAACCTCCTGATGTGCCAAAAGGAGCTTAAGGAAATTTTAAGGAAATTAAGGAAAAGAATTTTACTGAAAAAAAAGAAACTTGGCTGTTTTCTGTAACATGCCTATTGCATTACTGCCATATACCATCTTTTCTATATGAGAAATTAGTTATTACAGATTTTGTCCTCCTTCYTGATTTCCCCTGCACATTCTGCACAAGAGGTACAGCTACAAGCAGTTTATGGGAATGTTATTTCATTGCTGGCTTGCCCTGCCATGAGCTGTTGGGCTTTTTACCTGCATATGAATTTTAGCTGATCGCCTCTTACCAGCTTTTCAGKGAATACAATATTTGTGCTGGCCAAATGCCTGCGGCCTGAGGTTCATCRACCTACACCCAACTTGAGGTAGAAWAACCTATTTAGATTTTTGACACAGGAACTGATTTTAATAAGTGAAGCACCACTAACAGGCAGTGAATTTTGCCCTGCCTGCTTATTGCAACTAATTCTGTTTATTTTTTCAGGTACTAAAATACCTATATATCACAGAGATATATTGTGTAAATTATGAGATTACTAGATGGTGTTTGCATAAGTCACTGAATCATGAAGCACACRAGTGGATTTTATCAAAGCCACTATTTCCTTACAAATATACCTGCTCGCTGCTACCTAGTCTGTCTTCAGAAGCAAGAGCAGCAGAGGGGTGTTGAAACCTACCTTGAATCGTTTGCCTGCTATTTTGCAATCCTAGAAAATTGTCACTTGTGACTGAAAAAGTCTTTTGTATAAAGTTTTCATTATGACTTAAAGGTACTTAATATTCAGTATATTCCAAATGGCCATGCTTGCCAATCTCCACATGACAACTCAATTGGGCAGCCACCTCTTCTGAGGGAAGTCCAACATATGCTGGAGGGAAGAGTTGTTACAAATGAGAAAATACCCATTCTTGGCTTAAGTTGCTTGATTTGAAAAGGCAAAAGCAATTATAAAGAACAGCCCAGGTTGAATTTAGCCACTGAAATGTGCAACATTCTGCAAACAGTGCTTCTGCTACACTGGCAGCAGCTAATAAACAAGAGGTTTAATTAAAATTTCTGGAGATAGAACAGAACCTAGTTATTATCATAGTTGGCTATAAAAAAGTGTAGATTTCATCTGTAATATTTTATATTACCTCTTATATTCTTCTGTTTTTTTTCCTTTTTTCCTCTTCTCAATTGCCTGAAAGGACCTAAAGCTCGAACCATTTGAAGAAGTTTTAGAAGAAAACGCAAGATCTGTTTATTTTTATCAAATTGATGAACTTTGACATCTGATTTTCAGTGCTAGGCACTGAGCTAATCTCACATGATCTCAGTTTCTTCAAAACAAAACAAAAAACGTGTTCAAGACTCCAAAAGATGTGTATCAAATTGCAAATAATATTTGACTTTTTTTTTTAATGAGACTGACCTTTATGAGGGGAGTCAAACCTGTGCCATAGATGAAACTACCTTGAGCAGGTGTTTCTTTAAATATTTAATCAGCAAAATGGGCACGTTTCAATGGATGAGTCAATAAACTACTTAAAGGGAGGAGCCTGAGAGATAAGCATAGTAATGAAGATAAACAGGGCTTCTCTAACAGAAACTGGTCCTATAATTTTTACTGTTTATCAATATTTTTTTTAAGGAAATGTGGAGCAAAAGCTCCATCTSAGCCATCTGAGATGGCTGCCTTAGTCATCTGGTTCAAGTGTGAGTCAGACTTCTGAAAGGTAAAAAGCCTGCATTTCCTCACCAGAGATAAGAGCACCTCAGTGAAATGCAGCGCTGCATCTAATTCAAATCCTGTGGATGTTTTCTTATCTCGGCCTCACTCTCACCTGCATACACATTCACCCATGGAAACACGCTGACCTTACCATTAAGTATTTCCAAGATCAACGCTTGCTTTGCACTTTCCCCAAAAGACTCTCTCATCCAGAGTGGGGACAACTCAACTCTCCCCATTTTCCTGAGGTGGAAACCCATTTGGGGCAGTTCCTTTTTAGAACTTCATCCTGCGCAGTAGCTCCCGTGATAAAAAAGTCCATAAGCTGTTCTAATTCATCACTTCAGAGCACCAAAACAGGTACTGCGAACTTTTAAGGGAAATTGTTCTTTTTTCCTCAGTGATTTTCTTAATTATTATTTTATTAGATTTTCTTACCTTTAAGTGCCAGGAGTTCATAGCACCATATGGCAATAATAATGTCAATTTTATCAGCACATCCTGATTGTTCGGCACCAAATATCCGTGCTGGAAGAAGACACAGAGGCGCTGCGGCCTGCTCTGACGCAGTAGGTGGAACATGCTTGTGTCCAGGGTGGCTGCTTGCAGTAAGCACAGAGTTAGCACTTGGGCCGAAAGAAGGAAGGAATGAAACAGATTTTCATTCACAAGGGTGTTTGTAAAGACAGAATCTGCAGTATCTTCTTTCCTGGGTGGATTATGCGCAGGTATTAAGATAGAGCTGGTATAAGCAGGTGTAAGTTGAAACACAGGCAGTTCCATCTCCATGTGAGGAAGAACTTCTTCACTGTGAGGGTGACAGAGCCCTGGCACAGGCTGCCCAGGGAGGCTGTGGAGTCTCCTTCTCTGGAGGTCTCCAAACCCGCCTGGATGCCGCCCTGTGCCCCGTGCTCTGGGTGTCCCTGCTGGAGCAGGGGGTTGGACTAGATGATCCCTAGAGGTCCCTTCCAACCTCAACCAGTCTGTGATTCTGGGATGACTAGAGCCACAAAGAGATGCCAAAAGTATATGTGAGTAGTGTCAGGAATATGACTAAAATATAGCAAACTAAAAAATAGGAAAAGGAATACACAGCATTTTCAGAAGGGAACACACGCTCTCTTACGGCTTCCAGCTGTGGAGGTCACCAGTTCACAGCTTGCTGAGGCCCCTAGGCCGACACGGGAAMCCCCTTTGCATTTGCCAGCCTCTAGTGCTGTCCTCCTCGTGAGAGGGCAGCTCGTCAGCGTTGGCTGCCCGCTCGCTGCTTGCAGGTTCTCACAGTCATTCATTATCCCAAGCACGAAATCTTCTCGTACATTTGAAGACTACCTTCCATGTTCCTAGCTTATCAGGAAATTTTATGCTAACGTGGRTAAGAAAGTTGAGCAGGAAAGAGGACAAAAAGCGACCCTTTACTGATTCACTTGTAATGGGGGGTTTACCAGGAAAATAAAATCCTCACGTGAGCCCAAGAGGTGGCAAAGGCAGCGAGAAGGTGCCCTCCTCCTTAAAGTTAACATCCCTCCGAGCACAAAGCTGTCTGTGGAGGGAGCCTGCACTGCTGTGAGCACAGCTGAGGCAAAAGACAACAAAAATGACTTTTGTTCCCTGGGTTTGCCAACATTTGGTGTGTCGGTGGTGCCACCTACGGATTGCTTCTGAGCTCATCCGTGTTCCAGGGTAGCCACATTGAAAGCTCTCGATCACTGTCAGTATTTTGCCATGTACTTTCTCACCCAACAGGAGATTATAACACAAAAAGAAATCACATGATTTATTACCGTTATATTTCATGCTGAAACCAAATAATCTGAGAGCAATTTTCCACACATTAGCAGTAAAACCGGCGAGCTCATGTGTGGGCACTCAGAAATAGCTCTACCTTTTGTGCTATACATCTAACCACCAGTTTGGGCAGCCAGATGCAGAAGCTCCTCAGCATAACAGCTTTCCAGCAGATAACGAGCAGGATGATTTTTGTGGGAAGGACCAGATAATCTGTGGGCCAGTTTTTACTCATGATAAATTGATAGCCGAACGGCACGAGAGCAACTGTGAATGACATTATTTAGAAAAATACCTGCAGCAGACAGGGTACCAACCTACCCTTCCTTGCACTACATTGCTATTTTCCACCACAGCTGGATTAATTTTCTGCATTACTGACATTTCTTTATGTAAATGATCAATAAATTAACAATATGAAATATCAATAAATTAACAATATGAAAAATGAGCTTCATGAACATACCTAACTCTACAAATATTAATACTGAAAAAGTCATGAAAATTCTCATTATCTCATAGACAGAAGTTGGAGAAAAATGCAATAAATTGAAAAAAAAAAAAAAAAAGCAAATGTATACATTTTGCAATGTGTGTGTCTCAAAACGTACTTTTTTTTAAGTCACTGTTTTATTATATTATGCACGTCTGGTAGTTTTGCCATGTTTGATTAAATTAGCTGTATCCTATAATTCTTAGTGTTTCCATACAGAAGCTTTCAAATGACTCCTGCTTCATTGTATATGAGTTGTGGGAGAGCAGCAACACCTGGAATAGGCGAGTCCTATCTTCTTSCAGGTTAGAGAGGAATTGTGCAGGAGTGCGGAACATAAGTTACTCTAAATTGCACTAACCGATCTCTTGCTACCAGCATCACCATATATATATTTCACAGCAGTAGTTCAATCGCTTAAGACTAAAGTATATTTTAAATTAAAATTTTGTTTCAATATATTTTAGTTAAAAAACCTGAAAGATACAGCTAGTTTTAGGAGTACAGAAAAAAAGGCCAATGGTGACAACAAACACATGGCATCAAACGGATAGTAGTTGATTGCAGTCTGAAGAACTAGGAAACAATATTGGCATAGTTCAGTGATGAGAACAAAGGATTAAAAATAATTTTTTGTTAATAATCYAGCAACATATTCAAGCATGCAAGAAGGCATGAGGAGCTTGAATTTTCTCAGATCCATATTACAAAACCCATCAGACTGATTCCCAAAGTGTCTCTTTGGGCCCAAAATGAAAATTACAGTGAGCAAAAGCCCTACAATATAGGATGTAGGCAGCAATCTAAAGGAAGATGGAGACCTCTTGAAGCTTAGTATTTGTGCTTTTGAATTTGTGCTCAGTTCAAAGCAAGTAAATTTATTTTTAAAATTTATTTTTTAGAAGACTAACAAAACTGGTAACATGAATCAACACGTTAGGAACACAAAGAACTACTACACTGGGTTACAACTAAGAAATGAGTATCAGGGTGATAAAGTTCACTGTATAAAATAAAAAGTGCATTTTTATAAGGAACCTCACAGCTAATCTTCTAGCATCATCATCTGTTTTGAAGCACAAAATTTCTTACCTGTAACAAATCTGAATATTCCTCATATATGTATGAATATATACTGCCTTTAAAAACTTGTTACATTCTTATTTTTTATAATAATTATAATTATTTTTATAATTATTTAGCCACCTTCAAGCAAATTACAGCAAATCATTCCAAAGAAATAACGTGGACTTCTTGGAAACTCCAGAGCTCATGAAAACAATGCTAGTTCCTGGTAAATACCAATTTTTCATAAAGCTTTTTCTGTTCTGCGCAAAGAGCTCTGCTTTCTGAGAGCATGTTCTTTATGCACAGCGGCTCCATATCACCACCCTTAGCCAGATCTCCTTGTGTGAAGGATGGAGGGCAAAGGAAGGCCAACAATTGAGGTTTAAGTACAGGAATGTAAAATATATCAGCCAGAGTAAGGCCTGCAGTGATTTATTTTATGTGACAAAAAGTATTATGCCAGCCTATGCTGTTCAAGGAAGTGTCTAGAAGATGAAATACTTATTTGTGAATAGCAAAGCAGATCCAACTAAAGATTTGCAGAAAAAAAGTACTTTCTGATGAAGGTTTCATTTTAATTATACATACTGACTGCCTGGAGTGTTAAATTACCAATAACTGATATTTACCAACCAATGATTGCACATGCTTCCTGCTACATAAAAGCAAAACAGGAAGAAACCCTAATCAGAAATGTTAGACATTCCAAATTACTATTTCTAACACAAGCCAACGAGCATACAACTTCCAGGAGGCATCAGCTCCCTCAAAGAAACAGCAGGTAGAGGCTGTTAGGGACAGAGCTAATCAAGGCTGAGTCCTGCTTTACAGAGAAAGGACAGTGAACTTCAGTGTTTTATCTTAGCACAAATCTGTTAAAATGAAACCATGGTTTCCATAACTTTAATGTCTATGTGAGAAAATACATATATATTTATATTTATATTTATATTTATATTTATATTTATATTTATATTTATATTTATATTTATATTTATATTTATATTTAGTGAGGGAAAAATATGTATTTTTATATATATATTTGTGTGTGTGTATATATATAGTGTGTGTGTGTGTRTATATATATATA